TCTCCATCTCAGGCGAAAGAAACTTGTAGTCTCTGCCAACCAGTCTTGACCGTCTCATCCAGCCAAACTTGCCAGTCTCTTCCTTCAGGCGCCATCTCCAGTCATATAGACTTTCTTAGTCGTCAGGAACCTGTATCCCTCAAAGTTGCCATTCTTGGGAATGAGGAATTACTATTTTCTTGAGCCTTGTGATCTCGCGCTCGTCCGCCTCCAGCTCCAACTGCGCCAACATCTCTTCAGAAACATCTGGAGGTCCAGCTTCTTCAGATTCCTGCTCCAGGTCCACTTCGCCCCAGTCCTTGAAGTCCACCAAAGGGTATTCGTCCACCTCGACGAACTCTTGCTCATCCAAAGCCACTTCTTGGATGCCACCTGCAAATGAAGGTGCTGCTGCTAAGCTGCTTGCCGTTGGTGAAGAGAATGGGGATGTTCTTGGAGGAACTGCAAATTCCACCTTTGCTTTCTTGACCGGCTCTGTTCGCGCACTCTTCGTGGGAGGTTCTTCTTCAGGAAGTTCACCATGAGGTCGAAGTTCTCCTTGAGGATGTTGAAGTCCACCAGGGTGTTGAGGAACTTGAGGACGTAGTCCGCCTTGAGGGTCATCACGAACTCCTCCTGCATGTTGCGGGTCTGGCTCTGCATCCTTGCTCGAGGATCTTGGCGCTTGACCAGGCAGCCGTAGATTGCTCGTAGGCCACCATCGACTCTAACCTGTGCATACCGAGTGCCAGGCTTCACATTCAGCTGCAAATGCTGTCGCAGCTGCCCAGGACAACAACGCATGACCGTTGCTATCTTCAAATTCATCCAAGGAGCTTCCTGCCAGTCGCTCGTACTCGCCGACCAGCTTCTCGTACTTCATGATCCCTTCAAGGATCTTGCCCCCAGGCATTGATGATTCCAAGCTCTCTTTGCCTTGTCTTGGGCTGGAACTCCCGACAAAGCCCTTGCCAGGCTCGAAAGCCATCAGTGTCGTGACACTCCGGACGATCCGAAGCGGTCGCCCCTTCACAAAGCTGACCAAGTAGGCATACAGCTTCTTTGCTCTCTTCTGTACTTCCTCCTTGTAGTCGTTCAACTTCAGGTCCTGCTCCAAGTCCTTCTCCACGTGCTCCAGGTCGTTCATGAACTCCTCCTCAATGAAGGCCAAGTAGCTCTTGAAGAGGAATGACCATTCAGGCCATGTAGACTGCTCCTCATCGACAGTCCCTGCAAACCATACTTCAGGCTTCAAAAGGCTCCTTGGGTCGGCTTTGCTGCCGTCCTTCTCTTTCTCTTTCTCCCCAAGCTTCTGGAGAGTCTCGGCGCAAACTCTTGTGAACCCATGGAGCTCTGCCACCACTTGCTCCATGCCAGCCATGAGGCGTCAGCCTCCTCCACCAGTGACCTTGCCCTTCAGGTAGTCACTTGCACAGATTGCTCTGCCACTAGCTGCGCTGCTGTAAAGCTGCCAGCTGCTCTGCCGCCCAGCTGCGCTGCTGTGAAGTTGCCAGCTGCTTGCTCACCAGCCGCAATGGCTCGTGAGGCTGAGGATCGGGTCCTGTCCTCTCAAGTGGGATTGGGTCCTGTCCCTGGAGCTCCCCTGAGACCAACTGGAATCAGGCTCCTTGCTCCGCTACCATCTAACAAGTCGCTCACTTTTCGCTTGAGCGGTTGACGGCCTGCGGATTGCAGGTTGTGGTTTGTGACCCAACATGTTTTACATGGAGTGTACTGCTGCACTTGGTTTCACTGCGCAACACTTTTACTGCCAGGATTGTGCAATGGAATGCAATGAACACGTTAAGGTTCAGTTAGTTGGTCTGTGACCGTTGGGCAAGGAATATTCTTTTACTGCCAGGATTG